GCTCTTTAATGCAATGACATTCCACTTTTAGGACATTGTTGAGAAGAAATATATAGGTCATCAATGTTTTACTTACAGCATTATCATTGGTTGTTGTTGCATGCCTTCAATTCTAAAATATCATGTATATCTCCAACTAGTTTATTAGTTGGAAAAATTCACCAAAAAATGTATGATTCCCTCTTCTGTTGAAAAATTATACATATATGTATGCATAGTAGTAGAGGAAACGGGGAATAAAGGCTTTGTGTTTTTGCTTTTGGTGTATTTTCATATTACCTTCACCTCTGAATTGGAAACTGGCTGGAAATGTACTTCACCTGTGTCCTCAGTGAATACTGAAAATACTAGGGGGCTTCAAAATGTTTGTGGAAAAATTTTATTCTTTACTACCTTTCTTCCATAATTTAAAAAAAATTGGTTTTTAAAGAAGCACACTGTATATAGTTACGTGCATCTCAAGAAATGAAAACAATATCCTTCCTTCAATATCTGATCCATACTCTCCTTATTCCCACCCCCACCCCTGGCATCCTCTAGATTCATACATGTTGCGGTATTTAAGAGTTATGATTTTTTATTGATGCACAATATTCCATTGTATGACTATGCCAGCTTATTTATCCATTCGTCCATAATTGGGGTGTTTGGTTTTTTTCCATAAACTTTTGAAGCCCACGTTCTGAAATGTAAACCCAGCATAACAGGTATTTTTTCTTTGGAGTAAAAGTACTTTTCGAATACTATTGCTCATCATCCATTTTATAAACAGAAGCCAAGGAAACTATGGATGAGATGATTTTGTATGTAGTATGCTTGATATCAGCAATAGACTCCTCACAGATGGAGGTGATGACAAAAATTTAAGCGCTGAACTGCCAAGTGGAGGGAATTTGCTATTTATTTTTTGGAGCTCAGAACTTACATGTATGTTAATATAATGCCATCATGATTACACATTGGACTGCTACCTGCAAGATCTCCAGTTCGAAACTCCCGCCATTCCACGGGAGAAAGACAAGGTTTCACTCCCATAATTAGCAGTGCAAACAGGAGCAATTCATCTGAGCTGAATCTCTATAATAATTTCCCAGGGAAGGAGGTGGGGGCTCACGCAGTTCACAAATTCCTAGCAAATACCATTATTTATCTCTGTAAAGTTGACTAAGTTTCTAAGCATAATGTTCTCTTAAATATGGCAATACATGGACAAACTATTTTTTATGATGCATAATATTCCGTTGTGTGTTTGAAATCTAGACTAGGTTTGAGCCTAGATTCTTCTTCCTGCGGGGCCTGAAGTCAGTCACAGGTCACGGTACCTCTTCGTTTCTTAGCCTTTCAAGAAACAAGTTCTAAAAATACTGATGCCAATTCCCTTCTGAACTTGACAGGCTGAATGTGGTCATGCTGGTTAAAGAGTTTTCAAAGCTGTGAGATTAATGAATAGGAAGTGGTTTTATACAAATGTGACTTTGTATTATTTTGAAAGAGGAAGAATTTCCAGACTAAATTGTAGTTTGTGGTTTTTACTAGCTCTTTATTAGCAGAGCTCCCACATAGCACAGGGTTTGGGCTTGGCTATCGACCTAAAGGTTGGTGGCTTGAATGTATCCAGGGCAGGGCTGCTGTTGATTTTAAGGCCAAACACCCTCTTTCCCTTAACATCATTGAGCCACTGAAAACCCTGTGGAGCACGGTTCTGCTCAGACAGTAGTTGGGCGAGCAGGTGACAGAATCAACAGGCCATGATTTAGTTTTTGGTATCTTCTTTGTGAGTTGTTTGATTTTTAAAAAATTAGTGTTTTATTATGTACTGGTGATTGCTAGCCACTTAGAAAGTTTACTAGATGTACTTCATCACTGTCAGTTTTAGGTGATTTTATTAGTATCATTTTATTTGAAGCCAGAAAATCGCAAACACAATTGTTTGATTAATACTAACAATGAGGCATTGGTTGTAGAGATTGGTTCTTCCGTCATAAAACCAGGATTTCTGTCCGGCTCATTCAGATTTGATAGTTTGCCATTCACCCAGAAACACTGAATTAGAATCTATATTTGAGCAAGATCCCTAGATGGGTCTTAAGTATACTCCTATCTAGGAATCTGGAAGACTACCTTCAAGTCTGGGTTCTTAAAAAAAAAAATGAGAAAAAAACCAATCTGGGTTCTTCTGCAAGTCCTCCTCACTTTCAGTAAGCAAGGTTATGTCATTTGCATATCATAGGTTGTTAATAAGCCTTCCTCCAATCCTGACACTACATTTTCTTCATGCAAGTCAGCTTCTCTGATGTTTTGCTCAGCATACAGATTACATAATTATGTGAGGATACAAGCCTGGGCACACCTTTCCTGATTTTAAAACAATCCAATGTTCCCTTGTTCTGTTTGTCCAATTGCCTCTTGATCCAGGTATAGCTTACACGTGAGCACAGTGAAATGTTTCTGGAATCCCCAGTCTCTTTCAGGGTACCCATATGTTGTTGTGACCCACACAGTCGAATGCCTTGGCATAGTCAATGCAACACAAGTAAATATTTTTCTGGTATTCTCCGCTTTCTGCCAAGATCCATTGGACATTAGCAGTGATATCTATCCTTTGTTCTATATCACATTCTGAATCTTGCCTGAACCGCTGGCAGCTCCGTGTCAGTGTACTACTGCAACCATTGTTGGATGATGTTCAGCAAAGTTTTACATGCATGTGACATCAATGATACTGCTCTATAATATGAACATTCTGTTGGATCATCTTTCTTTTGAATGGGTACAAACATGGATCTCTTTCAGCCAGTTGGCCAAATAGTTGTGTTCCAAATTTCCTAGTATAGATGAGTGACCTACCCGTGCATTTCAACTTGTTGAAACATTTCAATAGGTTTCCACCAATTCCTGGGGCTTTGTTTCAGCTAATACTTTCAGTGCAGCTTGAACTTTTCCCTGCAGCATCATTGACCATTGCTTATACACTATCTCTTGAAATGGTGAAATATCAACTAGTTCTTTTTGGTGTAGCGTCTCTGCATTCTTTCCATCTGCTTTTGATAATTCTTGCTCATTCAATATTTTGCCCATTGAATCTTTTAATTTTGCAACTTGAGGCTTGGATTGTTTCTTGAGTTCTTTCAGTTTAAGATATGGTGTGTTTTTGTCTTTGTTTTTACTCTAGGGCTTTTCACATTTCATTATATTATTATACTTTGTCTTCCTGAGTAGCCCTTTGACACTTTCTGTTTAGCTCTTTGACTTCATTATGTCCTCCACTTGCATTAGCTACACTATGGTTAAGAGCAAGTTTCATAATCTCTTCTGACATTCATTTTAATCTTTTCTTTTTAATAACCTTTGCTTTCTTCATGAATGACGTTTTTGATGTTATCCCACAGCTCTTCGGGTTGTCTGTGATTAGTTTTCAATGCAGCAAATCTGTTCTTGAAATTCAGGTGGAAAAGCTTCAAGGTTGTATTTTGACTCTCGTGGACTTGTTTTGATTTTTTTCAGCTTCAACTTGAAGTTATATAAGAGCAATTGATTATTTTTTCCACAATCAGTCCTTGGCCTGATTATAAGAGCAACTGATTATCTTTTCCACAATCAGTCCTTGGCCTGATTTTAGCTGCTGATATTGAGCTTCTCCATCATTTCTTCCTACAGAGATTGTCAAGTTGATTCTTGGGTATTCCACTTGGAGAAGGCCATACGTATGTATAGTCACCTCTTGTTCTGTTGAAAAAAGCTCTTTGCTACGAACAAGTTACTGGTCTTGCAAAATTTTATCATGTGATCTGCAGCTTTGTTTCTATCACCATGTCACTATTTTCCAGCTACTGCTCCTTATTTGTTTCCAATGTTTGCATTCCAATCGCCAGTAATTATCGATGGAATCCTGATCACCTGTTTGGTCAATTTCTGACTGAAGACTTTAGTAGTATTCTGCCACGTTTCCATCACTGCGTTTAGTTGTTGGGGCATAGATTTGGGTAGTAATTGTATCAACTGAATTTCTTTGATTGTGGATAGATACAATCCTATCACACACAGCATTGTACTTGAAGACAGATCTCGAAAGGTCCATTTGGAGATGAAGGCAGTCATTCCCTTTGATTGTGTCATTCCCAGCAGAGTAAAGCATATTGTTTTGTGATTCAAAATGGCTAACACCAGCTCATTTCGGTTTAATTCCTCCTATATCTATCTTTATGAGCTCCACTTCATTTTTGATGACTTATAATTTTCTTAGATTCATACTGCACGTATTCCAAATTCCACTTATTAGTGTATTTTCCCCAGTTGTTTCTTCTCCTTTTGAGTTGTAGTCCCACCAGCAAATGAAGGTCTCAATGGCTTTTGTCCACAGGCTTTACGCCATTTGCATCAGATGAGCAGGAACTGTGTCCTCTTTGGAAAGGAAGCTCTTCCTCAGACCTATTTTGAGTACCTTCTAAACTGAGGGGGTCACCTTCTGGCGCTCTCTCTGACATGCTGTTCTATTCATTAGGCCTCGAGTCTCCGACAACACATAAGGTTTTCAGCACCTAACGCCTCTGAAGTAGCCAGTCGGTTTCTTCACAGGGGCTTCAGGGGCTTATTCCTTAGAAGTCTGTGGTCTACTCTGTTCTTGCAATCTGTTTAGTCTGCAAGCTCTGCTGAAGCCTGTGCACTCTGGGCGACCCTGCTGGCATTTGAAAGACCAGTGACATCGCTTCCAGCATCATAGCAACACACAAGCCACCACAGTATGACAAGCCGATAGACAAGTATGGCCATAAGAGCCCCAGGTGGTATGTGTACATACATATGTGTGTAAACATATACATACATATACACCCATATAAATATAAAATTACCTGGGAATCTTGTTAAACTGTAGATTCTGATTCAATTTCTGGGGTGGGAAGGCAAATTCTCAGCAGCAGGTTGAAGTGGAATGAACGAGTTCAAAGCTCTGGATGAAACAAAACCCTGCTAAATTTAGGAATGACACTAAGAGGCAAATGTTTTTCAGGCAATGCAACCTTTTATTTTAAACCACAAGGAGTCAGCAGGTGGCCACGACTATCCATGTTTCATTAAAATCACATAAAACTTAGGTACAAAAGCACCACGGATTATTGCTCTAGAAAAACTGCAAGAAAAATTCAAATATACACAATGAAAACACCACAGTATGCACAAGACTACAATTTTAAAGCAAGTGCATGGAAAGCTGAATCAATTTTACACACAGCTTCCAAATTGGTATTTATTTTACTTGAGGATGATGGAAATTTCCAAAAGAGCATTCTTATGAGAAGGTAAAATGTCCACCCTTATAGATTTTTAATATGCCAACTAGTAGAATCCTAAAAAATTAGCATTTACAAAATACTTGGTAAAAATAGCTTTTAAAAGTTGTCCCAGGAGGTACATAAAACCAACCCCAAATTTTCACGACAACTCATTCTCCCTTGTTATCTACAGATTCAGTTTCCTGTACCTGTGAAGAAGGGAGAAAAAGAAGACACCGTTACTACCCAAAGTACCAGCTGGGGAAGTCCACCCCGGCAACACACGTTCCCGTGTCGATTTGTTTTGCAGTAGGTCTACCGTACAGCCTATTTGCACTCTGGGTGTAAAACAGACAAGGAGGGACGATATTTACACAGATGCTCCTCTCCGTTTATTGCTCTGTTTTTCCAACAACCACAGAAGCCTTACCTGTCTGCTTCCATTGTTCATGAAACAAAAACAAGAACACTACTAACTGATTCTAGTCACTGCAAACGGGCTTCCACACTACCCTTAACTCTGTTTCAATCTGCCCCTTTCCTGAGAGTGTGCTGGGTGGGGTGCCTCTGGAGGTTGAAACATTAACAGTTGAGCGAGAGATGTAGATCTGCAATATTATAGGCAATGAAAAGAAACATTACGAACGTGCTATCACTGGCTGAAGGATCGAGCAAGTCCTTGGACACTGATTCAGTCAGTGGGAGGCATTTCTGGGAAGTACCTCTTCAGCTTTAGTTTCACCATTTTCAGACGGTGCAGTACCTTCCTTTGCAGCTTCCTGCTTCTCCTCCTTCTTCCCCTTAGCACCGTTGTTACTCTTTGCTCCGGGTTCTTTCTGGGAAAGCACAGGGCAAGAGAAGACGTGAAACACGGCGTGGTATTCGTGAAAACTGTCAGCTCTGATGTGGACACAGGCTGTGCTTGGTGAAAGGAGCAGGCAGAAGCTGGGCCAAGACCTCGGCAAGAGAGGGGTTTTCTGTCACTTTCCAATGAAAAGTCTCAAGTGGAGAAATGCAGTTTGAGGGACTGAGGCAAAGTGCAAAAAAGAGAAGGTTCCTAGGATGCAAAGTTCCTCCAAGGGCTGGTGACAGTATTCTCAGGGCCCAATTCACCTCCTTTGGAGACTACATGACCTGCAAGTTCACAAAGGAGCTGCCCAAGCCCTAGGACACGAAGCTGCTCAGAGCAGCATGCCCCAAGCCCAGACTGACTTCCTGCGCCTTACTGACTGAACGGAGAAGGCCTTCCTGTGAAGCAGAAAATTGCAATTTATGCTTGTTGAGAATGCCTCCAATAGTGGGGATGGTTTTCGAGCAGCACATTCAGCATGAATCATTAAACGTGACCTTTTCTTGAACGACTTTTTGGATGTGGAATGATAATTTATTCATTGATTTAAAAAAATAAAACCCCCAAAACCAAAGGGGGAGGAAACAGCCCCTCTTACCTTAGCAGATGCTTTCCTTGGTTTAGGTTCAGGTTTTGGCAGAGCAGGTTTCTGCAAAGAAAACTTAAATTATTCAGATAGTGGAAAAGACAACTCTCAGCACCAAAACCAACAAAAACTGGCAGAAGACAAAAATGTGTTCTTAGGCTTTGTTTGTTAAAAAAAAAAAAAAAGTTTTACTTTCAACATCAGGTAACAGCATAACAGAACTCTCTGCCTTTCATAACTCTTTTCTCCAGAGAACTGCTGGTGAGTTTGAGAAGCGAACCCATTATTCTCGGTCCAGCATAACTCTCCGGGAACAGGCTTAGGCTTCAGTCCTCGATGTCTCACTGTTTCCTTTTATCACAGCACAGTAGCAAGAGAAATGACGCAGGCCCTCGGTCAAGGAACTCCGTGAGTTTGGTCACAGTGGCCTTCCCAACAGTCTAGAAACCACGGCACAAACACAGGCACAGCCCTCCCTGTCAGGAAGACTTTCGTCTGTGAAGTTTTTAAAAATGATTTCCAGGTCCTTCCACCTTTAATGTAGATATCCAGTTCTGCAGCCAAGCTGATTCCTACTTTCATCTTCTCCAATGCCAGTTCAAGGTGAGAAGAATGGCCTATTTTCCCCTCAGAATGCTATTATAATGGGAAAATGTCAAGGGTTACCTCCCAGAGTTTAAGATGTTCATATATTTTATTAGCTCAAGAGCCTACCACAGCCAGTTGCCACCCAGTTCATTTTGACTCAGAGGAACCCTATGTGAGTCAGAGTAGAGTTGTATTCCATCGTTTCCAATGGCTGATTTTTTGGAGCAGTAGATAGCCAAGCCTTTCTTCCTATGTGCATTCAAACTTCCAAGCTTTGGGTTAGTAGCCAACCGTGCTCATCAAATGGGCCACTCAGGGGCTTCCAGGAGCCCAGTAGGCAACTATGTTCCTCTTGCTTCATTGTGAAGGTTGACCCAGGCCATGGTATTTTCAATCACCTCATATGCATGTGAAAGCTGGTCAGTGTATATGGAACACTGAAGAATTCATGCCTTTGAATTATGGCGTTGATGAGGAACATCAAATACAGCACATCCTTCCAGGGGCATGAATACATCTGAGATGGAAGAACAGCCACAGAGGCTCTTTAGCATCTTTCTTAATCGTTGCTCCAGGTTCTTTCTGAGAAAGTTCGGGGGCAGAGAGGATATTCAATAAGGCGTGTACTAGCTGAAGCCAGTCAGCTGTGATGTGGACATAAGCCGTGCTCCGGGAAAGGAGGAGACCAGAGCTGGAGAAGAACTAGGTTGGGGCTAAGAAGGTGGCATTTCATCTCACCTACTTTGGACCTGTTATCAGGAAGGATGGGCCTGGGCCTGGACCTGTTATCATGCTTGGCAATGCCCAGGGCCATTGAGAAAGAAGACCTTCAACAAGATGGCTTGACACTGGAGCTGTGACAATGGGTGGAAGCACAGCAATGCTTGTGAGGAAGACATGGGCCTAGGCAGTGCTTGGTTCTTCTGTTGTACACAGGCTCACTGTGAGCTGGGCTTGACTCAAGGACACCTAACCACATGTGGAAGTGTCCGCTCTGTTCGCTGTGAGCACTATCTGTCTATCCTGTGCCTGTTCATTTGGCTTTAGGCCCAGCCCGGTTTTCCCGAGGCCTGAGAACACCTGGGGTAGAGCACAGGAAAACTGGGAAAGGTAATTAGTTTAACCCACTAGTTTTTAAAAAAATCATTTTATTGGGGTCTCGTACAGCTCTTACCACAATCCATACACCCATCCATTGTGTCAAGCACATTTGCACATTTGTTGCCCTCATCATTCTCAAGACATTTTCTTTCTGCTTGAGCCCTTGGCATCAGCTCATTTCCCCTCCCTCCCCGCCATTCCCTCCCTCATGAACCCTTGATAACTTATAAATTATTATTTTGTCATGTCTTACACTGTCCGATGTCTTCCTTCACCCACTTTTCTGTTGTCTATTCCCCAGGGAGGGGTTATATGTAGATCCTTGTAATCGGTTCCGCCTTTCTACCCCACCTTCCCTCCACTCGCACCATTGGTCCTGAAGGGATCATCCGCCCTGGATTTGCTATTTCCAGTTCCTCTCTGTACCAGTGTAGCCTAACCCACTAGTTTTATGTAGATATTTCAGGTCAAATATTTCCTCATAAGCCTCTCCTGGCACTAGGAAAAATAGTTTTTAAATAGAAAACACTGACCAGGGCCTCCCCCATGTGGAGAAAAATACACGCTCCTCTCCAATGCTTCTCGGAGGTGGTTCAAGTTCATATTGAATCTGGCCCTGCTCATCAAGGACACAAAATGAAACTGCAGACAGTTCAATTTTGGAAGATTGGCTGTTAGGAATGACCTTTCAAATAATAATAAAGGATGCATTTGAAAAGTAAGGAATGTTTTTATTAATGTTCTAACCACGTTAAGTCTGCAGTCCATTTCCAAATAGAGCAGCTCACATGGCCCCTAAATTTTTAAGATTTAAGATCTTTGTTATTTCAGGCTTCGATATGTTGCATCAGTAACATATGCTTGTTTTCTCAATCCACAGCAACTAATTTCATTTTACTTTATTTCTATGAATGGAATCCTCCCTCCTGACTCAGCACTCAAGTGTTTTGACCCAGAGTGCTCCTTAGAGGCAAGGATGACGAGATTTCATTTTACCTACTTTGGATATGTTGTCAGGAGTGCCCAGACCTGGAAAAGGACATGCAGTGTGTCTGGTAAAGTGGAGGGGCAGCAAAAGGGAGGACGACTCTCAACAAGATGGATTCACACAGGTTGTTGCTGCAGCAATGGGTTTAGGCGTAGGAATAAGTGTGAGCCGGGCTTCATTCTGTTGTGCATAAGGTTGCTATGGGTAGGAACGAACTTAATGGCATCTACAACAGGAGTCTGAGAATCCCAGTCTGTCTACGAAGTTCTGTTTCAGAACTACCAGGAAGGCTTCTTCTCTGTGGGACGGCACTTATACTGCTGGTGCTCAGGGAGAGCTGCTTAAAAATATTGCTTTTTATGTGACTCATAAAGCATATTCCCTGATTAGAAGTTCATAGAGAACAATGGTTTCTAGTGTAGTCCATATGTAAACAAGTCCCTGTTTTTACAAGGCTTCTAACACTAAACTCAAAAGGAGTTACAATAGAATTTCCCCACCCTTGCTCTCCAGGGGTCCTCAAACTTTTTAAACAGGGGCCAGTTCACTGTCCCTCAGACCCGTTGGAGGGCCGGACTATAGTTAAAAAAAAACAGCTATGAACAAATTCCTATGTACACTGCACATATCTTATTTTGAAGTTAAAAAAAAGGGACAAAAAACACCTGCAGGCTGGATAAATGTCCTCGGCGGGCCACATGTGCCCGCGGGCTGTAGTTTGAGGACCCCTGCTCTAGATAGAGGGACCCTAGCCTTCTAAGAATGAACACTAAAAGCTTTCTAAAGTACTTACCGCTGACAATCTCGCAGACCGTCTTGTAGGCTACAAAGAGAAAGGAAAAACATTTTTCTTTGGTGATCAATACAACCAAGTTGAATTAAAAAAAAACATTATATTATCTTACACTGTTGAAAGAATATTAGATAAGATTGCCATCGTCCTTTTGAAGTGAGTACAATAAGACCTACGTCAAACCCTCTGGCCACCAAAATATTAAAAAGATGTATCAATGTTCTGAGAAATGGCATCTGACAATTAAGGTTATGATAGGTAAGAAGAAGAAAGGAAAATAAATGTAGGCTCCAACCCCAACCATAATCTTTATGCTTGTGATATAATTCATATAAAGAAAACTGAGGTGCTATTTAAGACGTGAAGGCATTTCACTGTGTGGATCATAGCAAACTATAGGTAACACTGCGAAGAATGGGAATTCTAGAACACTTACTTGGGTTTATGCAGAACCTGTAAATGAAACCATAGACAGTGTTTTGAACGAGGATATAGTGCACGATTTAAAGTCAGGAAAAGTGTGTATCAAGGTTGTATCCCTTCGCCATTCATATTCGGTTTGCATGCTGAGCAAAGAATCTGAGGAACTGGCCTAGCTGAAACAAGAACGTGGCGGCAGGATTGGTGGACGGCTTGGGAGCAACCTGCACCACGGAGGTGGCACAACGTTTGCTGGAAGTCAAGGGGACTTGAAGCATGAACTGATGAAGAGCAAAGGCTGCAGCCTTCAGATTATGCCTCAATACAAATAACACAGACGCCTCCACACCTGGATCATAAGCAACATCACTGAATGGAAGAAATATGGACCTTGTCAAGGATTTCATTGTACTTGGATCCACAGTCAGCACCCATAGACATGACAGTGATGACAGCAAGTGACCTGGTGCATCCGTCACATCTGCTGCAAAGGACCTCTTCAAAGTGTGAAACAGCAAGGGTGTCACCTTGAGGACTAAGATGTGCCAGACTCAATCCAAGCAGCGCAACACGGGACGACGGTTCCGCTGTTCTCAGAGGGCTGCGACGAGCCGGAGGCAACACAATGGCACGGCAATCTCCAGTCTGACTCTTCTTAGAAATGGAACGAAACCTTACGCAGTATCCATGGAGAGACTTGGAATTATGGAGAAACCAAAAATAGTGGGAGTTCCCCATCTCATTACTGTGGTAAAAAAGTAAATGGCTGAAAAATTCAAGCAGTTACAGGGGCAAAAATAACTTCACTGTTTTTATAGAAATGTTTAGCCAATTAAAAGAATATGTTCAAAGATTTAAGCAGAGGAAAAACTGTACTAATCTCTTCTCTAAATTTGGAATTGTAATTTTTGGAAATCTTTTTTTCTTATTTAAAGATGTGGCAAATAAAACGCAATCGAGACTGCAAAAAAATTAAAATAACAACTGTTTTAGGCATTACAAATAAGTATTCAGAATTGATATTCTACTTAAGTGTATGAGGGTATAAAAGTATCGCTACTATAATTCTAGTTCATACACGCACAGGTTTATTTCAAACAAAACATCATGATTGCAGTGGATCAGTGGACAATTGCTGGCAAGTTCTCTGAGAAATACACTTGCCTTAAGTCTCCTCTGGGCACCTTAAAAAAAAAGTTCTATCGAAACAGTGGCTTCCAAGGGACTGAGAGGTCAGATCTAAAGCTAATAGTGACTGTGTTTTGGGATCCCAAAGGAGTAATTTTGATAACATGGCTCCAAAAAGATATAGGAGCATCACAGGGTCCTACATAGAAAGGTTTAAGAAAATGGAAAACTGCATTTGTGAGACAAAGGCCACAAAGTTGTACCGAGGGGTTTTCCCATCACTACAATGTACCTGCTCATTTCTCAAGGGCAACAAAGGCTGGTCGTTGACAGTTTTGTTGGGAAATCTTATCCCAGTCTAAAGGCCACTTCTTGCCACTTCTAACTTCCTTCTGTTCCCCAAACCCAGAAAAACACTGAAAAAAACTCCTAACGCGAGTCCCTTAAAGTTGCCAGAATTGTCATTTTGATGCGGTGTAATGGAAGAACACAGAATTCCTCTGGGAAGAATTCCCAAACTGAAACAAACAAACAAACTCACTTCCATTGAGTTGTTGACTCATAGAGACCCTAAGGGCCAGGGTAGGACTGCTGGGTGAGTTTCTGAGACTATAATTCCTTACAGGATGAGAAAGCCTCACCTTTCTTCTGCAAACTGGTGGTGGTTTTGAACTGCAGACCTAGAGGATCATAGTCCAATGCATAACCACTATGCCACCAGGGCTCCTGGGGAAGTTAGAAATATGGAAACACCATCTTCAGAAGTGTATAGTCCTAGGTGGAGGCTATGTCAAGAAACAATAGCTTCCCATTTTGATAGTATTGGCAAATAAGTTTCTTTGAATGATTCTCACATAGCCAATCCTGGCTCTACAGGGGATTTCATATTCTAAAAGTACAGCTGCCTTTCTTTAACAGTGTGCTCAGATATAAGAACTTTGTACTTTAGTCTGTTTTATTTATTGCTGTACCTCCAGTAGAATAAAGCACTTTTAACAGACGTTTAGTAGACTATCGAGAAATATTTGCTTTAATAAAATAAAATGAATCCAAGCGTTCCTAATTTTGATTGCCTTCTGCAGACTTTGCCTTATTAGAATAACTTCCAGGACACCAGTCATTTTTCTAAAGGGGTCAGTTGGAACCCACACAATGATTAGGAGGCATCATGGAATTCAGGATGCTAGTCTTAGGTCAGTCTGGGTCGGTTGGTCAGGTCATACTGGAAGAAGTATTTCTTGTCATCTCTTTATCTAAGGACTTGTTGAAAATAGCCAGAGGAAGCTAAACTCATCTTTCTTTAAACGACAGAGAGGGGAAAAAAGGGGGAGCTAGAACTTCCTATGAATAATTTTAACTCTGGGGTCTTAAAGAAAGATCCGAGGCAGGCTTAAGGCCAGCCAGCAGAGTGTGCTGAGAATAGGAGACGGCAGGTTAAGTGGTTGGCTGTGATAAATACACTGCACAGTGTAAGTGGATGCTGAGCTCAGCACACAGCTCAGGCCCCCAGCCTGTGAAGTCACATGGAAGGAATACGGGTCCCAGACAGATCCTCCACTGGAAACACCTGCTGTGAGCACTACTCCAATGGCTGCTTCCGTGAGGACGCACACAGGAGTCACTGGGAGTCAGAACCCAAATCTTGGGTGCCTTTCCTGGGAGGTTTAATTCAGGTTACAACTCATAGTTGCTTTTGAGTTAATTCTTACCCATGCATGTTAGAATCATGTGCTACTGTTGAGTTTTTAAAGGCTGATATTTTGGAAGTACACTGCCAGGATTTTCTTTGGAGGCAACTCTTGGTGGACTAGAGTGTAGCAGCTGAGTGCTTGATCATATGAACCACACAGGCACTCCAATTTAAAAGCTACATTGCGTTACTGGGCAACTCTGAAGAAAAGGCAATATTATCAATTGAAGAAGATAGCTAGCAGCTACCTTCCAAAAACCAGGCTCACTGCCATCAAGCTGATCCTAATTCACAGCAACCCTCTAAGCAGGGTAGAACTGCTCCTGTGGGTTTCAAAGACAGTAACTCTTTACAGAAGTAGAAAGCCTCATCTCTCACCCAGCAGGCACCTCTGGCTGCTTGAGTATGCTTTAGAGAGGGACAACGTTCAGTTACAGACAGTTTGGTGTGGAAGCTTCTGTGTGGTCTTCAGACTGCTCACACCAACTCACAAGCAAAGGGACAGGAGAGTGCTCAGGAAGCTATGACCTGGGAGAGAAAGTGGAAGCCACCGAAGAGGTAAATGAACCTCATCTGAAGGTCTTTCTGTGTGGTGTTAGCTACATGCACTCACTGCTGAACTAACTCATCTTTCAGGCACAGGGTCACCTGCTCTTACTTCTCTGTAGCTCCACTGCCTTACAGGAGCCCTCCGTAAGTGTTGGGGTAAATGGAATGGCAATGTTTGACACTTATGAGATTGTGAGGACCTTATGCTTATACTTGGTTACAATCCATCCTGGAACCAGAAAACCCCAAACCCACTGCCACTGAGTCCCTGCTGACTTACAGTAGCATTGCAGGGTAGAGTAGAGCAGTTCCTTTGGGTTTCAGAGTCTGTAAGTCTGTTCTGACCCCAAAGACTTACTGATGCCATACAATTCAGGTCCAGTACAAGAATTTCAAAATACAAAACCAAACTCAGGAACAATTGTCAGTGATGTTGTTCTTCACGGCAAACAACATCCACTCACAGTTACAGTGCTGATTATGCATGCAAGGGTATACACCGTCCTGGAAAGTCCCATCAGTTTCTTAGGCTCAAAAGCTTACAAATGTTTAGACTAGCACTGAGTATGACTGCTGGCATGCCACAATTTGAAGTCTACATTTGTGATTCAGGTTATTATTGGGTAGGACAATGGGTTCTGAGAAAACTTTCTCTTGACTTGTTGACTAAGTGTGAACACGCAGGAGAATTGGCCCAAAGAGTAGTTTTCAAGGGAAGAAGGAACGCTTTTAGAATGAAGGGTCACCAGGAGAGTTCGGAAATCATTGGGAAGAAACTTTTGTCACTCTGGCATAAAAGTTCTGGGCAGCACTGGAAGGATTCTGTAAATGTGTTTTGATTAAATGATCATCCTCCTGGTTGGAGAAAATCCTACTGGAGGCTATTCTAAAAAATGGACTCTTCTACTGTCATGGTTACATAAGCAGCATGGAAACCTAGTCTCATTATGTGATAGTTGGGGATTTGTGTCTCTAGAGACCTACTCTAATATGCGTTACGACAAAGTTCACGGGCATAGCAGGATTCAAGTGTAGTCCTTGGCCCTTGCTGAATACTGCCTGAAACAGTCTAGTGGAATATGGGAGTATTACTATGAGCGGTAGTTCTGATTCTGAGTCTACTCATGTACTTCCAAGAAAACTCCAAAAGTCAAGCTGTTGAATCATATGCCCTCAAAACGTGTGCTGTCAATCTGTGCTTGTGGTTACATCCCCATTTGAGGTGTCTTTGTTACACGGCCCTTGAGTCAATCTCTTCTGAGATATAAAGAAGATTAAACAAGCAAGAGAAAGAAGCAGAGATGTGTGTAGAAGCCATAAAGATCTCCAAGAAATTAGGAATCGAAAGACAAAGAGATAAGCCTTTTCCTCCAGCGTCCATAGAGAAAGCGTTCCCTTAAAACTGGTACTCTGACATGACACAATAGATGGTTGGATGGATTGTGATGAGTTGTAGAGCCCCTAATAAGATGATTTTAAAAAGTTAAAACTATAGCAAAATAAAAGGAATCTGGCAAGCAAAAAACAAAAATACAACTGGTACTCTGAATTTGAACTTCTAACTTCCTAAACTGTGTGAAAATAGATCTCTCTTTGTTACAGCACCACTAGGTAACTAAGACACTCTGGTACTGGAAGAGTGTTTTTCTAACACCTAAAATGTGGGAGCAGTTTTGAAACAGGCTCATGGGGAGAGGCTGGAAGAGGCCCCGTGGTGTAGTGGCTTATGCATTGGAGTGTAAACCTCAAGGTCAGTGGTTCAATACCACTCGCCACTCCTTAGAAGAAAGAGGCTGTCTATTAGTGTAAAGAGTTAGACTTGGAAACCCACAGGGGCAGTTCTGCACTGTCCTATCAGGTCACAATGAGTCCCAATCGGCCTGATGTCAGTGAATAAGAGCAAGAGAAGGTGCCCTGGTGGCACAGTGGTTAAACTATGTGGCTCTAAGTGAAAGATCAGTGGTTCCAACCATCAGCTGCTCTGTGGGAGAAAGACATGGCAGCTCCCTTCTGTAACTGGTCTTGGAAACCTGACGAGCAGTTAATTCTACTCCAGCCTACAGATTTGCTAGAGGTGGAATTGACTAGAAGGCAGGGAGGTAACTGTAAAAGCCTAGCTTGCTTGGAAGAGACTGTTGGTAGAATTATGTACCTTGAAGGCAACTCTGGTGAGAGCTCAGAAAGGAGAGCTATGGAGAAATCCTCCATCATCGTAGAGAACACATACGGCGCCAGCAGCAAAATGTTGCTAGAAATGAGGGTATTTAATGTATTTGTGGTAAGGCTTTACAAGGAAATGATGAACACAGTTGGACAGTGGAAGAAGAGGCAATGCTTTTTTTATGGAGTGACAAAGAATGTGCCTTAATTATGTTCAAATGTTTGGTGGAAGATCTTGTGAAGGATCAACATGGCTGGCTGGCTGGGGCGGTTTTCTAAGCAAGATTTCAGAGGGGCTGCAGGGTCTCTCCGTGCCACTGACAGTAGATATTAGAGGAAAGAGCCGGACTTCAAGCTGGATCATTGCCAACTTGGTCCCAGAGGGTCAGGCCGCCCTTAAGGTGTGCCAGCGAGATGGGGTCACCATCCAAAGCTGAAGAGACAGGTGTGCCTGTTCAAGAGCACAAGAAGGAAGCCTGCTGCAGCTCACGGGGTGCACTGGATTAGGAGGAAGCAGAATTGCACCCCGTGGCCAGGTGTAAAGGGTGGAAGGGAAGCTCAAGGGTTAGAAGCCTCCATGTAGAACCAAGGGCATGGCCTTTGCTTGGGTGACTCCAAAGAACAAAGGACTATTTTCACGCATTGAGAGAGAATGGAAATTGTTCTGCTTGGTTTTAGGTCTGCTTGGTGCCTGTGATACCTTCCTTCTCTCCAGTTTCTCCCAAACGGAATGGAAATGTATGTATTGTGCCTGCTCTACTTTGGAAGCAGGTAATTTTCATCTAGATTTCACAGGTCCACAGATAAAAAGGAATTTTGCCCTATGATGGAATCTGCTCAAATCTCACTCATACTTGCTTTACTCAGAAGATGAGATTTGGATTTGGAGTTGTTTTCAGACTTTTTGTGATGGGATGGATGTGTTTTGCCATGTGGTAAGGGCATGGATTTTGGGAACCAAAGGGTGGAATGTTAAAGATCGAATTGTGTTTCCTAGAAACATGTGTTGTAAACTCTAACCTCTGTACTTGGGATTATATTCCCATTTTGGGAGCGGGTTGTCTTTGTCAATGGAGTAGGACTAGTGTAGGGTGCTTTAAGTCCATACTTTTATAGGCTGCAATAAAAACAGCAGATCAGGACAAGCAGGCAAGCAAAGGTAGGAGAAGATAGCGGTCAAGCACATGGAGATCGCCAGGGAACAGAAGCTGTGGAGAGAAGAACCTTTAGAGAGAGCCTTCCCCTAGAGGAAGGCCAAGAGTCTTTTCTAGGAAAAGAATTTTGTTTAGAATCCTGTGATTTAGATCACACGAATAAGACACAAACACAACACACATCTTTTCTGTGTATCCTTATCCACCTGACTTGCTTTTATAGTAGAGATACTGGGAAGGATGTTGCCACTATCCAAGATCTCCTGTGTTTTCAAGATTTTCTGACAGACAGATCAATTTAAATGCCAATGTTTTCTAAATACTTTTCTACGCCCAAATTGAAAAATATTAAGGTAAATTACACTTTACCTAACTGTCCGATAAATTGTATTTTGCTATTATTTTGTTTAGTTCTAGTGTTTATTTTGTTGGTTTGGGGACAGGATCACAAACTTCCCCTCGTAAACTCTCTCTTAAGACACTGAACATGGAATAAATAGAAAGGATTTGATTATTGGCAGTTTTGTTTTTAAATGTTTTTTTTCCCATAGATTCTGCTGAAGATTTTCCACTAGGCAGAATGTACAAATCTTATGTGAGGGTTATGGTATCATGCCAAACGCTTCTGAATTATTAACCATAATATGCATCATCCAAAGGATCTGAAAAAGAAATCTGTAACAAGACCCTTTTTAATTCCTGAATTCAAGGGTAAGGGCTGTAGTTTTCCCACCTACTGTTGAGTTCTCTCTAAGAGTAAATGACAGTCATCACAGTTATCCTCTCATTTGCTGTTTTTAGTCCATCTTCTAGAAGTTCATGATCTATTACCACTGAGTGTCAAACACAAGCATCTCTTCATTATCTTTCATGAAGCTTCTGTATTTTGATATAGGCCTTGGTAGAAATATTGTTTAACTAGTTATCCTAAACTTAAGTGATTGAAAAATATTAATATTTTGGTATTTTCTGATATGTTTCCATTGTTTGTGACTGTAGAAATGACTCTTTCAGGAAAATATTCAGAGCCCCAACGTAACTTATGGTTCGTTTGCTACAGCAGTGAATTTATGGAATCACTGACTTTCATTTTCGTGCTGTGAAAGACAGACTTTGTTCTCCATGATGAATTTACCTATTATCTCACTCTTTGCCCAGAAGGGATTCTCAGCATCCATTCTCAAATACAGTCACAGGGACTGACAGCTAGAAACGTAAACAACAGAAAGTTACTAGTGGGAAATGCCTCATGCGTGTACTGGGCTGAAACATACCCACAAGAAGCAAAGCTGCAAAGCAAAACTCTCATCACTGGTTTAAGCAATCCCCACAGCCTGGTTTGCAGTAGTATTCTTTCTGAGGCAGACAATCATTATCATGATTAAATTTCCAATTAAAATAATTAAATACATAATGCCCAAAATAAACTTACCTCACGTTCAGCTACTTTGGGTCCATCTTTGCCCTCTGAATTCTCTGGAGACTAAGGGAGGGGGATTCAATAAATTGTATTTAAAATTGGGAAACACATGTTAGAGAAATACACACACACACACACACACACACCCCAATGAAGAAGAAAAGGTTAGGTAAAATGCTAGGACCACATAAACCAACAGATTATTTTGCAGGGTAAATGTTTGTGAGATTTTAAGAGAATATACTTTGTACACAAACACCAAACCCAACTCACTGCCAGTCTGTTGATGCTTACCACAGCTCCCCTCGAGGGCAATGTGGGGCTGCCTCAATGCTTTCCTGAGACTGTAACTGAAAGCCTCATTTCCCTGTCCCCAAGCTTTAGTTTGCATATCTGCTCTCCTATTAAAATTGGAGAGGCAAAGCGAATTATAAACCCCTGTTCTCAATGTACACATCCACCCTAAAAAATTTCCAACTGTCTCTCATGAGCTCACTAACTGTTGGTTAAAGAACAGGGAGCCAGTCTGGGGCAGAGGTGATTACAATCAAAATGTGCTCCCATCGCTTTTACCCCTGAAGATGAGGGCAGGCCAACCAGGAAAGGATATTTTCATCCCAAATTTTTCATTTCTATCCCGTTTCTTGGTATGACTTGGCAAGTTTATCACAGATGATTATTTTTCCATGACCCACGAACTGCAGCAGCTCTACTCCACTGCCAGTCTGGGCATTCCAGCCAGGTGCCCAGCCGCCAGCCCTGCTCTGTTTTCCAGTGGTGATGGAGCTGACTCCTTCACAGGGTGAGTACAACCAACGATGGAGAAAATATCCTTAAGATTTACATGGCATCTTGCATTATGTTTTCATTGGCTAAAGAGTCAGTATGAGTAAAACCAACTAGAGAAAAATTTAATTAAACACATTTTAAAACTGTACCAACCAAACTCGCTGCCACAGAGTCAATGCTGACTCATAGCAAGGCCCTGTGGGTTTCCCAGACTGCGACAGCTTACGAGCGTAGAAAGCCCAGCCTTTCTCCAGACACTGTGTAAAGCTTGAACATAAATACTCATATCTTTGGCACAAAAGGATAAAAATAATGCTACCAGAAGAAAAAAATACATAGATCAA